TAAAAGCGAGAAAATGAAAATTAAAAATCGGGAAAATGAACAATAAAAAACAAGAACCTGAAGAATTTAGGAAACGAAAGATTGAAAAATCAAAAAATGAAAAACTGGATTAATTTTTCAAAATTTCGATTTTATAATTTTTGAATTTTAATTTGTTCAGTTTTAGGTTTCCTCAACTTGCAATTTTTCGTTTTTGTTATTTTCTTTGTTTGTTGTTTCAGTTCCTAGATTTTGTAATTTTTTGATTTAAAATTTCTCGAGTTTTCAGTTTTTAATTTCTCAATTTTTCAATTTTTCATGTCTGCAATTTTTCGTTTCGGTTTTTTATTTTTTCAATTTTTCGGCTTTTCAATGGTTTGATTTTATAATTTTGTTTTTTCAATTTGAAATTTTTTAATTTTGGATTTCTCAAATTTTTGATTAGCAATTTTCAGTTTTCAATTTTTCGATTTTTCAAATTTTAGATTTTTGAATTTTTCGTTTTATCAGTTTTAGATTTTTCAGATTCCCGATTTTTCAATTTTTCGTTAAATTCAAGTTTTTGATTTGCAATTTTCTAGTTTTCGTTTTAAATATGCGATAATAATTACTCCTATAATTTAAAATAATTATCAGTTTTTCAGTTTTAACATTTTAGAATTTTTTCATTTATCAGTTGAATTAATTTAACAATTGAATTTTTCAATTTTTCGATTTAACAATTTTTGGGTTTTCCAAGAAAAAACGAATCGAATTAAAAGATTTCATTTATTCGACTTTTTAATTTTTTGTTTCTTCAATCTCACGATGTGCAACTGTTAGTTTTCAATTTCAAATTTTGTAGTTTTTCGATTTTCCAACTTTTGGATGTTTCAATTTTTAGATTTAAAATTTTTCGATTTGCATTTTCACGAGATTTCAATTTTTAATTTCTCAATTTTTCAAATTTTTATTTCTTCAATTTTTCGATTTGTAAATTCTCGTTCCGGTTTTTCGTTTCCCTTATTTTTTATTTGTTCCGTCTTTCAATGTTCTGATTTTATACCTATATTTATTTTTAATGTGCATTTTTTTTTCAATTATAGATTTTTTAATTTTTCGTTTTTTCAGTTTCCTTCAATTTTTAATTTGCAATTTTTCTAGTTTTCGTTTTAAATATGCAATAATAATTATAATTTAAAAAACATATCACATTTTCGATTTCACAGTTTTTGGGTTTTCCAAGAAAAAACGAATCGAATCTAAAGATTTGATTTTTTTTCGATTGGAAAGCTTCTCGATTTTTATTTTTCAATGTTTCAATATTTCGTTTCTTTAGTTTTTCGATTTTTCAATTTTTTCCAATTTTTTAGTGTTTCGATTTTTTAATTTTTCCATTTAACTTTTCGAATCAACAAAATGAAAAAATTGCAAAAATGTTAAACGGAAAAATCAAAAATGAAAAAAAAATTAAAAATTGGAAATCAAGAATTTGAAAAATTGAAGAAACGAAAAATTGAAAAATCAAAAAAACGAAACATTGTAAAACCAAAATATTCAATATTATGGAAACCTGAAATTTGGATAAATGAATTTCTAAAACCTCAAGAAACTGAAAAATCAAAAATTAAAAATTAAAAAAAAATAATAATAAACGAGAAGTTATAAAATCCAAAGAAACATTGAAAAAAAACAATTTGTGATTTAAAATCGAACAAATGGCAATTAAAAAATCGGGATAATAAATAATAAAAATCAAGAACCTGAAAAATTCAGGAAACAAAAGATTGAAAAATCAAAAAAATAAAAACTCAAAAACCGATCGAGAAATTGGAAATCGAAAAATGGAAAAGTTAAAAATTGAAATCTCGAGATAGTCAGATCGAAAAATTGCAAAATCCAAAAACTGAAACATTCAAAATCGAAGAACTAAAGAACTGAAAAATCGAAACTGCGAATTCGAGAAACGGGAAATTAAAAAAATATATAAATTGAAAAATCGGAAAACTGAAAATTTAGCAACGTCAAAATTTGAAAAATTGGAAAATACAAATACTGAAGAACAGGAAAATCAAAAAATTCAGAAATCGAAAAATCTAAAATTTAAAAATCATTGGAAAATTGAAATATCGCAAAATTGATAAATGGAGAAAACCAAACATCAAAGAATCAAAAAAGAAAAATTCGAAAATCTAAAACTTAAAAATCGACAAATCGAAACTACAGAATTTAAAAAAATTGAAAAATCGGATAACTGAAAAATCGAAACATTGAAAAATTGGAAAATCGAAAAACCGAGAAATCCAAAAATCGAAACATCGAGAAATAGAAAAAAATTGGGAAATTGATAAATTGAGAAATTGGACAATCAAAACATCCAAAAATCTAAATTCGATAAATCGAGAAATAAAAAAAAAATTGAAAATTTCAAAAAAGAAAAATTAAAACATCGAAAAGTTGAAAAAAAATTGAGAAATCGAAGTATAAAACTGTCGAAAATTTGAAAAATCTAAAGTTCAATGAAAAATTGAAAATCCAAAAAGTAAAAAAGGGGTGGCAACCCAAAAACTGCAAACTGAAAAATTTAAAAATCGGAAAATCGACGCATTGGAATCGATTGGCCTGAAAATTTGAAAAATTGAATAAACGAAAAATTGGAAACTCGAAAGAAACAACAAAAATTAAGGAAATGAAAAAACAAAAAATTGTGATATAAAATCGAGAAAATCAAAAATCAAAAATCAGGAAAACGCAAAATAAAAATCGGGGAGTTGAAAAACTGAGGGGACGAAAAATTGAAAAAGGGAAAAATTAAAAATCGAGAATGTGAAAAATGGAAAAATGAGAAATTGTAATATTGAAAAATTGGAAAATTTGGAAGTCGACAAATTGTAAAATTGAAAAATCAAAAAGTGTATGATAAAACCTTGAAAAATGTAAAAAGTGAAAATTAAACTTGCAAATTTGAAGAAAAATTGAAAAAAACCTGAAAATTTGAAAAATTGAATAAACGAAAAATTGTAAAATCGAAAAAAACAACAAAAAATAAAGGAAATGAAAAACGATAAATTGTGATATAAAATCGAAAAAGTGAAAATTAAAAAATCGGGAAAATGAAAAATAAAAATCGGAAACAAAAAAATTGGAAAAAGGACAAATTCAAATTGACAAACTGAAAAATCGAACAAAAATTGAAAAACTGATGCAAACCGAAAAATTAAAAGAACGAAAAATCGAAAATTTTGGAAGTCGAGAAATTGTAAAATTGAAAAATCAAAAATAAAAAAAACGAAAAAGTGCATGATAAAACTTGAAAAATGTAAAAAGTGAAAATCAAACTTGAAAATTTGGAGAAAGATTGAAAAAAACCTGAAAATTTGTATAATTGAATAAACGAAAAATTGTAAAATCGAAAGAAACAACAAAAAGTAAAGGAAATGAAAAAACGAAAAATTGTGATATTAAATCGAAAAAGTCAAAATAAAAAAATCGGGAAAATAAATAAAAATCGGAAACAAAAAATGGAAAAGGGAAAAATTAAAATTGACAAACTGAAAAATCGAAAAATGAAAAACTGTAATTTTGAAAAATTGCCATATTAAAAAACTGATGCAAACCGAAAAATTGAAGGAACGAAAAATTAAAAATTTTGGAAGTCGAGAAATTGTAAAATTGAAAAATCAAAAATAAAAAACGAAATATGTATTATGAAATAGAAATATTGAAAATTAAAGAATTTGGAAAATCGGAAAGCTGGAAATCCAAAAACTCCAAAGTGAAAAATTTAAAAATTGAAAAATGGACGAACTGAAAATTCAAAGCCTGAAAATTTTAAAAATTGAACAATGAAAAATTGTAAAATCGAAAAAAAAAACACAGAAAATGAAGGAAATGAAAAAACGGACAATTGTGATATAAATCGAGAAAATAAAAAATAAAAATTAGCCACATTGAAAAATAAAAATTGGGAACATGAAAAATTGTGGAAGCGAAAAATTGAGAAACTGAAAATTCGAAAAATTGAAGAAACGGAAAATTGAAAAATCGAAAGAAACAACAAGTAATAAAGGGATCGAAAAAATGAAAATTTGTGACATAAAATGGAGAAAATGAAAAATAAAAATCGAGAACTTGAAAAATTGAGGAATCCAAAAATTGAAAATGCCAAAAATGAAAAACTGGGAATGTGAAAAATCGAAAAATGAGAAAAATTGCAAAATTAAAAAATTGCAACTCGAAAAATTGATAAATTTAGAAGTCAGGAAATTGTAAAATTGAAAAATAAAAAATAAAAAACGAAAAAATATATAATGAAAACTTGAAAAATGTCAAAAGTGAAAATCAAACATGAAAATTTGAAGAAACGAAAATTTGAAAAATCGAAAGATTAAAAATTGAAAAACTTGAAATTCGAAAAAGTGAAAAATAGAAAAAGAGAAATACACATTGTAAAATCACAATATTGAAAATTAAAGAAATTGAAAGATTGGAATACTGGAAATCCAAAAACTGCGAATTGAAAAATTTTAGGCGTGGAAAATCATGGAATTGAAAAATCAAAACCTGAAAATTTGAAAAATTGAATAAATAAAAAATTGTAAATCGAAAGAAACAACAAAAAAATAAAGGAAATAAAGAAACCAAAAATTGTGATGGTGCTAGCTTTTTGATTGATGGTGCTACGTTAGAACCACGAGGTGCTAGTTTTTGAGTAAAATTCATTAACCAAGTTAACGGACCCCAAAAAATCTTGAATTAAAACCGTAAGTGAAACTTTCATTATTATTGTTTCAGGACTGCTCGATTGTATCTACTGCCTACTCCATCTCGCTTTCCTATTATATACCACAACACGTGAAAAGTGAATCTATCGTGAGACGCCTCGACTTCGCCTCGAGTTTGAGGCTGGATTTTGGTGCTGTGAAAGCCGCGTCCAGTGAACACTGACAATTACAATAAAGCTCGTGCTTTTCTCGATTTTTTTTACTTTGGTCAATCTCTAAAAGCGTACTTTCGTGGTGTGGCAACAACTAATTACTCACTTCGTTTTTAATTTCTTCTTCGACTTCGTCAAACTAAAAATTTCGTTACAGTGATTAAAGAACGAAAGAACGCTAGTTTGGGCGCGATTGTAATGAGTAAGTTTTACCTTGATGTCTCCCCCGCCGGGGACGTGCTTGATGTTGTCCTTGGAGCCGACTTTCGATTTGGCCTTCTCCTTGAAGTCCAGCTTGACGGATTCTATTTTCTTTTCGCCGCCTTTGGGTTTGTGGGTGGCGTTTTCTAGTGACCCAATTTTCGACTTCGCGTTCCACTGAAGTTTCTGCTGTTGGATCTGGTGGAAGTAATCGGGGTTAAAAGGTTGTTAGCGTAATAAAACAAGCGTTATTTAAAGTGGGAAGGTGTGCCAGACGGGAGTGTCGGGAGACCTTGCTGTTTATTTAAACAGTCGAAATGGTATAACGCAAAAATTGGTCGAAGGTTATTTTCGAGGTTTAAATTTTCAGTTTTTCAGTTTTGCAACTTTTCGATTTGAGTTTCTCGAGTTTCTAATTCTTCGTTTAGGATTTTTTTTTCTTTTTTTTTCAGTTATTCTATGTTATAATTTTTCACTTCTTCAAATTTTCCATTTTCAATTTTTTGTTTCGGATTTTTTTTTTTATTTTATAATTGTTCGATTCCGTTTTTATAATTTTTTTGTTTTTTCAATTTAACTAAGATTTTCGTCTCATCAAATTTTTCAGTTTCATGATTTTTCAATTTTTCATTTATTTAATTTTTGATTTGCAATTTTTCTAGTTTTCATTTTAAGACATGTAAGAATACGAATTTTACAATTTTAAAATTTCGTCGTTTTTCAATTATTGGATTTTGAATTTTTTTCATTTATTCTACTTTTCAACTTTTAGATTTTTTAATTAGTAATTTTTTTGAATTTAGATTTCTCAGTTTCAAGATTTTTCAATTATTCGTTTTATCAGATTTTGATTTGCAATTTTTCTAGTTTTCATATATTAAATAGGTAATAATAATTTTTAAAATATTTCACTTTTTCAATTTTATTGATTTTTAAATTTTTTCCTTTTGCATTTATTGGATTTTAAAACTTTTTCATTTATTGGAATTCTCAATTTTTCATTTCATTAAATTTTCCATTTGCAATTTTTCGTTTCGGTTTTTTATTTGTTTTCGATTTCAGTTTTCAATTTTTCGAATTTAGATTTTCCGAGATTTCGAAATTTCAAATTTCTACTTTTTCTGTTTTCGATTTTTCTATTAAAGATTAATAAATAAGTGAATTTTTTTCGAGTAGACAGTCGATTTTTCGTTTTTTCGAATTTGCGTGTTCCAATTTATGAATCTTCGAATTTTTGTTTTCTCGATTTTCGATTTTGCTATAATTCTTCGTCCCTTGGGCACTGCATTCAAATAAATAAATAAATTTGAAATTTGATTTTATTTGAATTTTCTTTTTCGATTTCATTTTTTGAATTTTCCATTTTTGATTTCTCGATCTTTCTATTTTCGATTGTTAAATTTTTCTATTTTTTGAATTTTCGATTTTACGAATTTTCGCTTTTTAGATTTTTCGAATATATATTTGATTCCGAGGTTCCGAATTTTTGAATTTTCGTTTTTTCGATTTTCGATTTTACGAATTTCCGTGTTTTCGATTTTAGATTTTTCGATTTTAGATTTTTCAATTTTCAATTTTTTGAATTTATGTTTTTCGAGGTTTTTTGAATTATCAGTATTTCGATTTTTCAATTTTCTAATCAATTTTCAAATTATCGAAATCTCGACCATCCAGTTTTCGATTTTTCGGTTTTACGAATTTCAGATTTTTCGATTTCCCGATTTTTCAATTTTACGATTTTTTAGTTTTTAAATTCAGATTTCGATTTTTCAATTTTCAATGTTTTGAATTTATATTTTTCGATGTTCCGAATTTTTTAATTTCCAGTATTTCGATTTTTCGATTTTCCTAATCAATTTTCAAATTATCGAAATCTCGACCTTCGATTTTTCGATTTTTCGGTTTTACGAATTTCTGATTTTTCGATTTCCCGAATTTTCAATTTTTGATTGTCCGAGTTTTGAATTTTTCGATTTTCAATTGATAGACTTTTCAATTTGTCGATTTTTCCATTCTCGATTGTTAGATTTTTAATTTTTCGAATTTTCGATTTTTTCAATTTCCGTGTTTTCGATTTTTGATTTTTCAATTTTAGGATTTTTCATTTTTAAATTCCGGTTTTCGATTTTTCAAATTTAGATTTTCCAATTTTCAATTTTTTTGAAATCGATTTTTTGAGGTTTCGACTTTTTGAATTTCCATTTTTTCGAATTTTCAAATATTTGAATAATCGATTTTTCGATTTTTCTAACCGATCTTCGATCTTCGAGTTTTCGATTTTTCGAATTTCTGATTTTTCAATTTTCAATTTTCCAATCATTCAATTTTTCGAGGTTACGAATTTTCGAACTTCCGTGTTTTCGATTTTAGATTTTTCAATTTTACGATTTTACATTTTCGAATTTTTCGAATTTAGATTTTTCGAGATTCCGAATTTTTGGATTTCCGTGCTTTCGATTTTGGTTTTTTCAATTTTATGATTTTTCAGTTTTTAAATTCCGATTTTTCAAATTTCGATTTTTCAATTTTCAATTTTTGGTTTTATATTTTTCGATGTTTCGAATTTTTGAATTTTCAGTTTTCCGAGTTTTCGATTTTTCGATTTCTCAATTTGACGATTTTCTACTTTTTAAATTAAGATTTTCGATTTTTCGAATTTCCATGTTTTCAATTTTAGATTATTCAATTTTACGATTTTTCAGTTTTTAAATTCCGATTTTCGATTTTCGAATTTTCAATTTTTCCAAATACGATTTTTTGAGTTTCGAATTTTTGAATTTTCATTTTTTAGATTTTCGATTTTTCAAATATTTGACTTATTTTTTTATTTTTCTGATCGATTTCAAATATATCGAAATCTCGAACTTTGAGTTTTTGATTTTTCGGTTTTACGAATTTCCGATTTTTTGATTTTCAGTTTTTCAATTATTCGATTTTTCGAATTTCGATTTTTCGAGGTTATGACTTTTTGAATTTCCGTTTTTTTAATTTTCGATTTTTCGAATCTCCGTGTTTTCCGTTCAGATTTTTCAATTTTACGATTTTCCAATTTTTAAATTAAGTTTTTCGATTTTTCAAATTCGATTTTCAATTTTCAATTTTCGAATTTCGATTTTTCTAGGTTACGAATTTTTGAATTTCCAGATTTTCGATTTTGAATTTTTCAATTTTACGATTTTTCAGTTTTTAAATTATGATTTTGGGTTTTTCAATTTTTCGAAATTAGATTTTTCGACGTTTCGAATTTTTGAATTTCCAGTTTTTCGATTTTCGATTTTCCTAATCGATTTTCAATTTATCGAGATCTCGATCTTCAAGTTCTCGATTTTTCGGTTTTACGAATTTCTGATTTTTCGATTTCCCGAATTTTCAATTTTCGATTGTCTGATTTTTCAATTTTTCGATTTTTCTATTTTCTATTGCTAGAATTTTAATTTTTCGAATTTTTGGTTTTTCAATTTTACGATTTTTCGACTTTTCGATTTTTTAAATATTTGGTTCATTTAATTTTTCTATTGTTCGAATTTTCGATTTTTCAGTTTTTCGATTTTCCGGTTTTCTGATTTTTCGAGTATTTTATTTTACGATTTGTAACTCTTCGAGTTTTCATTTTCAGAGTTTTCAGTTTTCTGATTTTCCGAATTTTGGATGTTTCAATTACTAGATGTATTTTTAATTTTTCATTTTTTGATTTTTCAAATTTTCATTTCTTCAAATTTTCGAATTGCAATTTTTCGTTTCGGTTTTTTGAATTTTTCGGTTTTTCAATGTTCTGATCTTATAATTTTTCTTTTTTTAATGTGAATTTTTTTCAATTTTCGATGTTTCAATTTTCGATTTTTTCCTTTTTCAGTCTTCAGATTTTTCGAATTTTGAAATCTCCGAATTTCCGTTTTCTCGATTTAGATTTTTCTGTTATTCGCCTTTTCGAATTTCCATTTTTCGAATTCTCCATCTTCGAGTTTTTGATATTTCGATTTCTCGATTTTTCACTTTTCGATTGTTAAATTTTTCTATTTTTCGAATATCCGTGTTTTCGATTTTAGATTTTTCAGTTTTACGACTTTTCAGTTCTTAAATTCCGATTTTCGATTTTTCAAATTTCAATTTTTCGAATTTCGATTTTTTAAGGTTTCCAATTTTTGAATTTCCATTTATTTGATTTTTCGAGTTTCTAATCGATTTCCAATTTATCGAAATATCGACCTTCGAGTTGTTGATGTTTCGGTTTTTCGAATTTTTGATTTTTTGATTTTCAGTTTTTCAATTATTCGATTTTTTGAGGTCTCAACTTTTTGAATTTCCATTCTTTCGATTTTCGAATTTTCTAATATTTGAATAATCGAGTTTTCGAATTTCTGATTTTTCGATTTTCAGTTTTTCAGTTATTCGATTTTTCGAGGTTAAGAATTTTTGAATTTCCGTTTGTTCAATTTTATGATTTTTCGAATTTCCGTGTTTTCGATTTTAGATTTTTCAGTTTTACGGTTTTCCAGTTTTTAAATTACAACTTTTGATTTTTCAAATTTCGATTTTTCGAATTTAGATTTTTTGAGGTTACGACTTTTTGAATTTCCGTTTTATTATTATTATTATTACTAATGTTATTATTATCGATTTTCGATTTTTCGAATTTCCATATTTTCGATTTTGGATTTTTCAATTTTCAATTTTTCGAATTTAGATTTTTTGAGGTTACGAATTTTTGAATTTCCGTTTTATTATTATTATTATTACTAATGTTATTATTATCGATTTTCGATTTTTCGAATTTCCATATTTTCGATTTTGGATTTTTCAATTTTCAATTTTTCGAATTTAGATTTTTTGAAGTTTAGAATTTTTGAATTTCCAGTGTTTCGATTTTCGATTTTTCAAATATTTGAATAATCGATTTTTTCGGTTTTTCTAATCGATTTTCAGTTTATCGAAATCTCAACCTTCGAGTTTTCGATTTTTCGGTTTTACGAATTTCTGATTTTTCGATTTCTAGAATTTTCAATTTTCGATTGTAGGATTTTCCAATTTTTCGATTTTCAATTGTTAGAATTTTCTATTATTCGATTTTTTTTTCGAAATCTTGATCTTCGAGTTTTCGATTTTTCGATTGTTCGAATTTTCGATTTTTCAGTTTTTCGATTTTATGATTTTTTGATTTTTTCATTTTTGATTTTAGGTTTAAAATTTTTCCATGTTTTGAATTTTTGTATTTTTTAATTTTTTGATTTTTCGAATATTTCATTGATCGATTTTTCAATGTTCCGACTTTATAATTTTTTGTTCTTTCAATATCAATTTTTTCAGTTTTTCGTTTCTTCAATTTTTAGATTAGCAATTTTTCAATTTTTATTTTTTAAGATTGGAACTTTTCGAGTTTTCAGTTTCGGATTTTTCAGTTTTTCGATTTTCCGATTTTTGGATGTTTCAATTTCTAGATGTTTAGATTTTACGATTTGCAATTTTTAATATTTCAATTTTTCGATTTTTCAAATTTTCATTTCTTCAAATTTTTCCATTTGTAACTTTTCGTTTCAGTTTTTCATTTTCTTCAATTCAATTCAATTTCTGATTTTTCCATTTTTCAATCTTATGAATTTTTGAATCTTCGAATTTCGGTTTTCTCGATTTTCGATTTTTGTAAGTATAATTCGCTTTTTCGAATTCTACATTTTCGGGTGTTCGATTTTTCTATTTTCGATTGTTAAATTTTTCTATTTTTCGAATTTTCAATTTTTTGAATCTCCGTGTTGTCGATTTTAAATTTTCAATTTTACAATTTTTCTATTTTTAAATTCCGATTTTCGATTTTTCAAATTTCGATTTTCCAATTTTCAATTGCATATTCGAATTTCGATTTTTTGAGGTTCCGAATTTTTGAATTTCTGGTTTTTAGATTTTCGATTTTTCGAATATTTGAATAATGGATTTTTTGATTTTTCTAAACGATTACCGATTCATCGAAATTTCGACCTTGGAGTTTTCGATTTTTCGGTTTTTCGAATTTCTGAATTTTCGATTTTTAGTTTTCAACTATTCGATTTTTTGAGGTTACCAATTTTTGAATTAAGATTTTAGATTTTTCAGTTTTTAAATTCCGATTTTAGATTTTTTAAATATTTTTCTTTTCAATTTATCGAAATCTCGACTTTCGAGTTTTCGATTTTTCGGTTTTACCAATTTCTGATTTTTCGATTTTTCGAATTTTCGATTCAGATTTTTCAATTATTTGATTTTCAATTGTTAGAATTTTCAATTTTTCGATTTTTCCATTCTCCGTCGGTATTTCTTGATTTGTTAGCGTTTTAAATATGTAATGATAATTATAATTAAAAAAAAACATATTTCCAACTTTATAATTTTAGAATTTTTCCATTTTTCAGTTATAGAATCGAATAAATGGAAAAGTTTAAAATTTTATTTTTCGGATTTTAATTTTTCGATTTTTAATTTTTCAGTTTCTCGATATTTAATGTTTCAGTTTTTTGGAATTTTTAACATTTAAAAATGTTACAGTTTTTGGACCCAATAATTTTGACGGTTCTATAATTTTTCGATTCGATTCGTATTTCTTCGTTCTAATTTTTCGATTCATTCATTTCTTCGATTTTTAAGTTTCTCCGTCTTCAGTTTTTCAATGTTTCAATTTTTCGTTTCTTGAGTTTTTAGATTTTTATTTTTTTGATTTTCATTGAATCAAAAACATTGTAAATGAGAAAAATCAAAAATGAAAAAAGGAATATGTATAAACTGAAAACTTTCAAAAATCTATCAATTGGAAATTAAGAAGTTGAAAAACTGAAGAAACGAAACATTCAGAAGTTTGGGAATCGAGAAGTTAAAAAATTGAAAAAATTAAAGTTGAAAAACAATAGTAATCCTAAAAACTATGAGCTCAGGAATTAAAAATTAAATACCTTTTTGTCGCCACCCTTCGGAGCATATCTCTCATTTTTGGCCTCAATCCTCGACGAAGCGTTCTTAAAATCTACCTTCTTACTCTCTATTTTCACGTGTCCACCCCCTGGCTTGTAGCTCGCATTATCTAAAGATCCAATTTTCGATCTGACGACCTTCAAATTAGGTGAAGGCGCCGATCCTACTTGAACCTTATTCATAGGAACCTCTGAAACCCACAATTAAAATCCACCCCTCCTAGACTCATAACCTCACTCTTTTTCTCCGTTGTTCCCGGTGTGCTTGCTGTTGAATCCGGACTCTTCAGACTCGGTGACTTGGATCCCCTCGACAGCGACCGATTTTTCGTGGGGGTCGTCGACGAAGTGCGACTGGGATTCTTTCCGGAGGACTTCCTCGGAGAGGTTTGATCACCGTTGCTAGATTGGTCCTAGAGACCACAACATGCAAAAACGACAAACACACCTCCAGTACTTACGTTTCCTTGTGTTGATTCGTCTACGCCGCTGTCGTTGTCTCCTTCTGAAACCGAAAAACGATTTTAGTGGAAATGTCAACCCAAAGGTGGTAAAGCGGTGTTAAGAACCTGATCGAGAAGGAGATTTCGATTTCTTTAGATTTTTTAACTCGAGATTTTTCGTTTCTGGCTTTGGTTGCACGCTTTGTTGGTGGAGACCGTTTTGCACCACCTCTTCCTTCGGTTTAGTAGCGACTACTTCGATCTTCGGTTCAGGCTTCTCTACTCTGTTAATAGGCGAAGGCGATTTGGTTTTGGCCCCTTCTGGTAACTTAAACTCGACGCTCTTCTGCGACGCGTCGGTCTGTGGGGTCTGTGGAGACGGCGATTTAGTCACCTCCACTTTCCCCTCGTCCTCCACGATCTTGTTCATCCTCGACTCCGGTCTCGACGGGTACTCGTCGGACTTCTTGTCCAAGTTCTCGCACGACCCTTTCTTCTCCTCAACACTCCCGATGCTGCTAATCGACCTCCTTCGCTCCTCCTCCTGGTCGACACTATAGCTTCTGTTCTTCGTCGCGTCTACGGAGGATCTTCCTGAATCTTCCCCCATTTTGACATTCTCGGGAGATTTATGGGTCGTCAGATCTGTAGAATCCAGGGTTTGACGGAAGTTGTCTATTTCGAGCGGTGGTCTGTAAGCCGGTCGTTGCTGGAATATTCCAGGCTGTCTGGGTTGCTGCGGGGGCTGCGGAGGTCTGGGGAATGGAGTGGACGGGCGAAAGTTGGGATTGAGGGGTCGGACGCCTGGGTTTTGGATGAATTGGGGTTGACCCGGGGGTCTAGGAGCGGCTCCGGGGGCTCGCTGGATGAACTGTTGCTGGGGAATAGGTTGACGGATTTGGGGGGGTCTGGGACCTAGGCCGGGTTGTGTGGGGAAGCCTGGGCGGATCGGGAGGGAATTTCGACTGTCTAGTCTGGTTAGAGGTGGACGTGGAGGAGTCGATGCGAAGCCTGGGAACTGTTGAGGAGAGTTGTCACCGTTTTGGTGCGTTTTCGTCTACAGTGGAGAGAAAAATCTTTAGAAGAGGGCTAGGTTGTAGATGGCGTCCACTGACTCTAGATTGCGCTTTTAAGAGTGTGGACACGAAATGACAGCTCCAATGTCAAAATAATTTAGGTTATGTAACTAGTTGTCAGAAATACGTGTTTGTCATAATTGTCAAATTTATCACGAATGTTTGTTTCGACGGGTTTTCTTGAAAAGTTAAAAAAAACTGTAATAATAACACAAACGATAGATAGATTCCGTCTATACAGGGTGATGATAAAGTAATGCACAAAATTTATAAAAAGCGCAGCATTTGTTTTTGAAAATAATTTGTCGAAAGTTGTTTCGACAGAACTTCCCTCTCTTCTGAAGTACAGTCCAACCAATACTGCTTCTCTGAACAATTATAAAATTTGATTTTGCGGAATTCTACTTTTTTCTATTCCTCTATTCCTCTATGGAGTAAAACAGTTTAGAAGGTATTAGTCACAATTTAATAGAAAAAAAGAAAGTTTCATCTTCATAAAAAAATGACAGTTGGCAGCCCCGAGGAAAAGGACACTTAGGGCCCTCGAGACGGTTTCGTCTTCTTTAAAAAAGGACAGTTGGGACCCCCGAGAAGGTTTCACATTAAAAAAAAAAGACGATTGGGATTCCCGAGAAGGTTTCACATAAAAAAGACAGTTGGGATCCCGGAGGTTTCAATAAAAAAAAAACACGTTTGGGGCCCCCGAGAAGGTTTCACATTAAAAAAAAAATACATTTGGGACCCCGAGAAGGTTTCACATTAAAAAAGATGTATAGGGCCCCCCAGAAGGTTTTACATTTTTAAAAAAGACAGTAGCGACCCCCGAGAAGGTTTTACAGTATGAAGAAAAGAACTTTGGGACACCTGAGAAGGTTTTACATAAAAAAAAAAATACATTTGGGGTTCCCGACAAGGTTTTACATTTTTCGAAAGACAGTTGGAACCCCCGAGAAGGTTTCATGTTTCTAAAAAAATACATTTAGGGTCCCCGAGAAGGTTTCACATTATTAAAGATACACAGTTGGAACACCCGAGAAGGTTTCACATAAAAAAAGACGTTTGAGGCCTCCGACAAGGTTTTACATTTTTAAAAAAGACAGTTGGGAGTCCCGAGAGGGTTTTACAGTATGAAGAAAAGAACTTTGGGACACCTGAGAAGGTTTTACATAAAAAAAAAAAATAATTTGGGGTTCCCGACAAGGTTTTACATTTTTCAAAAGACAGTTGGAACCCCCGAGAAGGTTTCACATTATTAAAGATAGACAGTTGGAACACCCGAGAAGGTTTCACATAAAAAAAGACGTTTGAGGCCTCCGACAAGGTTTTACATTTTTAAAAAAGACAGTTGGGACTCCCCAGAAGGTTTTACAGTATGAAGAAAAGAACTTTGGGACACCTGAGAAAGTTTTACATAAAAAAAAATACATTTGGGGTCCCCGAGAAGGTTTCACATAAAAAAAGATGTTTGAGGCCTCCGGCAAGGTTTTACATTTTTAAAAAAGACAGTTGGGAGTCCCGAGAGGGTTTTACAGTATGAAGAAAAGAACTTTGGGACACCTGAGAAGGTTTTACATAAAAAAAAATAATTTGGGGTTCCCGACAAGGTTTTACATTTTTCAAAAGACAGTTGGAACCCCCGAGAAGGTTTCACATTATTAAAGATAGACAGTTGGAACACCCGAGAAGGTTTCACATAAAAAAAGACGTTTGAGGCCTCCGACAATGTTTTACATTTTTAAAAAAGACAGTTGGGAGTCCCGAGAGGGTTTTACAGTATGAAGAAAAGAACTTTGGGACACCTGAGAAGGTTTTACATAAAAAAAAAAATAATTTGGGGTTCCCGACAAGGTTTTACATTTTTCAAAAGACAGTTGGAACCCCCGAGAAGGTTTCACTTTATTAAAGATAGACAGTTGGAACACCCGAGAATGTTTCACATAAAAAATGACGTTTGAGGCCTCCGACAAGGTTTTACATTTTTAAAAAAGACAGTTGGGACTCCCGAGAAGGTTTTACAGTATGAAGAAAAGAAGTTTGGGACACCTGAGAAGGTTTTACGTTAAAAAAAAAAATACATTTGAGGTCCCTGATAACGTTCTACATTTTTAAAAAGACAGTTGGGAGCCCCGAGAAGGTTTCACATTCTTAAAAAAAGGACATATGGGGTCTCCGAGAAGGTTTTACATTTTCAAAAAAGACAGTTGGGACCTCCGAAAAGGTTTCACATTCTTAAAAAAAGACATTTGGCGCCCCCGAGAAAGTTTTACATTTTTAAAAAGACATTTGGCGCCCCCGACGTTTCACATTAAAAACAAATGATTGGGGCCTCCGAGGTTTTACATTAAAAAAAAAACATAATTTCATCAATAAAGATATATTATGTTTATATAATAATACATAATACGTGAGAAAACGAGAAAAAATGTCGCCAGAATATTGAAAATTCCGTCAATTAGGTCTACCATCGTCTGGGTTTGTCTTAAGTAGTGAATGGGGATAGTTTGAACAATTTCTATACCATAAATTTCCACTCCACTGTATTATTCTGTTTATTCAAGATTTATCATCAAATTCAAGTTTGTTTTGTTTGTTATTAATTTTCTCAGTTTTTTTTTGTTATGCAACCCATGTAGTCAAAATTATACTTTCCTATTCAAAAAGATCATTGATGACGTCATCACTTTTACAAATTTGACGTAATTTTTTTTGAAAGATGTCAAAAGATGGAGGCTAAAATAAAAAGCTTGTCAGGTTTTTCCCTAAATTAAAGTTTGAGGCGTGCAAATTGGAAACTTGAAAATATTGAAATATTTTGACGTTAGATCTAAAATTTCATTTCTAATCCAGCTATATTTCAAGGCAGATCCTTCTCACATTTACAAAAAAATTAGGTCTGGGTGAATAACAGAATTATGATAATTTCGAACGAATTTTGCGGATTTTTAGGCAACTTTCCGAAAAGTTCGATCTTTCAACACTCCACGCGTATGAAAATTTAGTTCTACGTTTTTTGACAATTTCGAAAATTACCGAAAGAGATTTTTTAGTAGATTTCGACCGCCAGAAAATACTTCCGGCCTTATTTTCTCAAAAACCCTCCCTCCCAATTAAATATGTCCACATTTAGGATTAAAAAGAAATAATAATTTCAAACAGAATAAGGTATTTCTATAATCTTGCTCCGAGACTATGAACACGTTGTATTTTTTTGAAACAGCAAGTGGAAATATATAACCCAGATTTTTGTGTGAATTTTTAGTTAACCTTTAAAAAACTCAGATTTTCAATACTCCCCCGCTTATGAAAATTTCGGCCTTTTTTTGAGCAGTTATACGGCTTGCCTATAAAAGGCTCTCTAGGAAAAAGTTAAACTTAGCCCCGCCCACCCACCCGTTCTCTCATTTTTTTCTTCTGCAATAAGAAATCTTATAACAAATAGTGCAATAAAAAAGTCACAATTAGCGCTTTTTTCACAACCCTATTTAAATCAGCTACCACTCCCATTCTACAGAAGAACATATAATAAACCCCGCCCACCAACCCGCCTCCATTTTCGGGATTAATTTGATAAAAAATAGTACTACCAAAATTTATTGCAGCAGGTGCTTGTTCAGATAAGACTGATTTTGGAAAGAAATATACTTTCCAAAAAAATAGAGGGCGGGTGGGTGGGTTTAGTACTTGTGACGATAAGACTGAACAATATTAAGGGGATGTTTGCTAAAAGAAAACTGTCGGATTTTTAATTTTGCCGTGTTATTGCCTTCACAAGAAGTTTGCGTGTAGAAAAATAAAGACGAGAAGTAGTGGTAGGCTGGTTGAAACTCAGGAAAGCTGGGGTGTAATTTATGACACCCATAATCTCTGGTAACAGTTCGGCACCCGCTTGTCGTGTATTATTGTTCGATTTTCGTTCGTCAACAGTTCAATTTTCATATACGAAAAAAGACCACAAGAAATTAATAACAAATAAAAATCTGAATATGTACAAAAATGAACATCGAAAAATTAAGACAACAAATAGTAAGTCCAAGCAATTATAATCTAATTGGGAAACTGATTGATTTACAACAAAAAAAGCACTCAGCCGAATAATTATAAATGCAGTTATTTTTCGGACACACAACAATCACTTTCGCAACACTTAAAAAGATTTGTGGCAAGTAAAACAAAATCAATTTTAAGTGTCCAAATGGTTCTACTGAGTGTGTCCCTATACTGAAATGCAACGAGAAAATCACCAATTTCTGCATCAGTACGTACCTATATGTCATGATGTAATGCAAATTATAAAATAAACTAGAGACTAATAATTTGTTTCGTTTTTATTTATGCGTATTTATAAATATACCCAATTGTTTTACTTAAAACTAAGTACTTCAATTATTTGGTTTACATATTTCAATTATAACTGGTTCCCTAGCTGGTTAGTATCGGCTAAGTTCAAACTAAAGTGGTATAGAAACTACCTGTGTATACTGAATGGTTATCCGGCTAATTATAAGGTTTATGGTAATCTTTTATTCAACAAAATAAAATTCTTTCAGGTAATACACTTTGATCTTTGACAAAAAGCCGAGAAGCAATAGGATTGGTGATTACTGATTATATAAAGTAACAATAATAAAATTTATATTAGTAACATTGGCTTTCACTTTATGTAAGTGTATAAAAACAGCGGCGGGTCTAAAAAACAATAATATTTATATGTACAGAAATTAGGGAATAAAAGCATAATAATAGTAAAACTAATCAAATGATGATTAAACTGCATTTTTTGTCTGTAGTTTTAGTAGGTTTTTTGACATAATAATTCTGATAAAAGTTTTTTCCACTTTTTCGTGGCTTTGAAAGTGGAATCTTCGACTTTCGTCCTATTTCAAAATATACTCTTTATATATTTCAGTGGTCACGAGTTCGCTAACTACACTGAAGTAAATTTATGCAAAGATTAAATTTGTCACCGAAAAGATGTCGGAAG